ATTGGTCACGGCAACCAACTCATTTTTTAAATATTCTGTCTTCTGCTGTGAACACCACATGCCCCTGGTTTTCCTCATACCACTCTGGCAAGTTCCTTCAAAGTCTTTGCTAGCTCCCCTTCCCCTACCCAGTTTTCATTTTTCACTGTGGAATCATTGGGTTTTTATTTTATTTTAGCTTTAAAGTAGATAATAAAATTCACATTATTCAAAACAAGCATTGGCCAATGTCTGTATCTACCTCTAAAGGGTAAGTTCTATGACCATGACTTTGGGCCGGCTCACATTCACAAGGGCCTCAAATTTAAAATTTTGAGGCAGTCTTCAAATGGAGTTTGGAGGGCTGAAGAAGAAAACAGCAAAGAATTTTACCATTTTATCTATTCTCTAAACCATACCACCTTGATGTGACTATTTGTGTAAGTCTTGTAATTATCCTTTGAGGAACACAATACAAAATTCATTTGTACATATTAAAATCTCAAATGTGTTCAATGTATATTTAAAATGTACATGTAAAATATACATGTTCTATAACTCTGCTTGCCCTTTCACCATTTTTCAACTTACCGCTAAGCCTCAGAAAATGCAGCCTCTCAGATTTCTCTACCTCTGTAGGATAAAAGGTCGCTTTAGCTTTATTTTATCCTCTAGCATTGACTGGGGGTTGCAGAGGAGGTTTCGGCGGTGAGATACCCAGGGTAAAGAAAACTCTCACGTCAGGAGGAATCAGCAGCAGCCTCTTTATTCCAGCAGTTTTTTATATATAATCATGTAGTGGGATGATCTAAGCGGGGCAGTGTGTGACACATGGGTTTTAAGCCTTGCAGTGTCGTGCTTATGTAAGGGTTCTGTTACATAAGAAAATATGGTCTGTGTTTTTGCAGCCTGTTCCGGGGTCCTGTCCTGAACCATGGCCTCGATCAGCAACAGGCCAAGTTCCCAGGTCCTCACAGTCCACCCCCTAGAGGCGGGAGTGTAGGGAATTGACCCATAAAGCATTTCCCTGTGCACAGAGCCCACAACAGCAGTACAGGGTGCAGCACATAACCAAAAGACCTCTAGCAAGACTGCCAGAAGGGGAGGTTTTCCCTCCTCAAAGGGGCTAGGGCTTTCCTCTGCCTCTGTAGAGGGCTCCTCCCATTCTGCTGTAAATTGTATAGGTCCTATCAGGGAGTGCAACTCCTGCATTAAAGGGCTGGTAGAGAACCGGGCTCTCTGTTCCAAGTATGCTCCTCACTTTGTCAAAGAGGGAGTTTAGGCCACTCCTCTGCGTGGTCGGGTAACCCACGACCACAGCCACTCCTCCACCGGGTAGGTTGTTTGCACTGTGACAGGACAAGGACCAGTGATACTTTCACTGGCCAACAGGGCTGTGCATACCACCACCAATTGCTTTTCGATAAGGGAGTACCGACTTTCCCCTTCCTTCCATAACTGGGACCAAAACCCAATAGGGCTTTTCCGAGCCCCTTGTTTCTGCCAGAGGCCCCAACCAAAACCCGAGTCATCTACCTGTACAGTCAGGAGGAACAGCAAAGCCGGATCCACAACTTGTAACATCTGTGCCTGGGCCCCTGCCTGTTTTGTAGCCAGAAATGCTCGCTCCACCTCAGCGCACCAGTCCCAGGCTTCCCCCTTAGGAACCACGCAGTGGAGGGGTTTCATCAGCATGGCTAAATGAGGTATAAAAGTTTGCCAGAACCCCAGCAGTCCCAAATATGTCTGCAATTGTTTCACTGGTTCCAGTCGGGGATAGGTCTGTATTTTTCTATAATCGCTTCTGGCATGACCTTCATCTTACCCAATCAAACAACACCCAAGAACTTGACAGAGTATCCAGGCCCTTGGACTTTGTCCTCGGCCCACCCCCAGCCCACCGGGGCATCCTGAAGACAGCATGCTCCAGCTTCTAGCTCTGCAAGAGAATCAGAGGTCGTTATATCATCAACATAATGGAACAGGTATACATGTGGAGGTTTGTTCCAGGATGCTAAGTCCTGGGCTACCAAACCATGACAGTGTTGGACTATGTAAATAGCCTTGAGGTAGTACTTGGAATGTCCATTGCCTTCCTTCCCAGGTAAAGAAAACTTTTCCTGGCTTTCAGGGTCAATGTCTATTAAGAAAAAGGCATTAGCCAAATCCACAACATAACGGAACCGCCCTAATTCTTGTGACAAGCAGTCCATCAATTCAGTAATATTTGGTACCGCTGCATGTAAGGGCAGGGTAACCTTGTTCAGTTCTTGGTAGTCCACAGTCATCCTCCATGAGCAGTCAGGCTTTCATACTGGCCACACAGGGGAATTATAGGGGCTATGCATCTTTGCATTAGATGGATAACCCCTGCTTCTTCTAATTTTAGACTGGTTCGCCCAATTTCTTCATGGCCCCTGGGTAGTCGGTACTGTTTCACATTGACTACCCGAGTTGCTTGCAGGAGTCGCATGGAAGAGTGGCATAGGTGTCCTTTATTAACTGTCTTTACCACATGCACCCGCAGACAGAATTTGCCCTGTGTAATTTGGACCACGAGGTCTCATAGAACATCTATCCCCAGTATATATTCAACAATTGGCAAGATATACGCCTAGTAGGGGGTTGGTGGCAAATGCTCAACACCCAATAAAGGTAACTCGTGGTACTTGGATTTGCCTTCCACCATATCCCTCTATCATGGCTCTAGGGCCCTGGAAACAATCCACATTCCCACAAATCAGGGTAAAACCTGCCCCCCTGTCCACGAGGGCCAAAACACATTGAACAGGCCGGGGGATCAATAAATAGTCACTTCTACATATGACCTCCAATCATCCGATTCCCCTGTCAACAGAGTGCTTCGGCCCTCCCCCTACTCAGGCAGGTAGTTAGCCAACTTCACCTCTCTGTCTTAGTTACAGGGGGTAGGGAAGTGTATTGTTGTTCAGGGCGCAGCTTCCACCACAGGGCCAACAGCAGTTCTAGTGGCTACTCATCTATCTTCTCCTTGGCCAGCCTGGCTGCTAGTAGATCACACATTTGACGCCCACTTACCTTCTCGAGTCCGAAGCGGTCTCCTTACCCACGGCACTTATATCCGGCAGGGCCCGAGATCGCTTAGTCTTGCCTTCCGTGAGTCTCCATACCTGTGCTGCCCAGCCTTGTTTTTGTACTTCCACATCCCCCAGCCACGCCAAGGCAGTGGTTACTTCATAGACTGGGCGGTCCATGTAAGGGGCTAATAAAGCCACCATAGTCCCACAAGTCTCTGAAGGGCCATTCGCTAGCACCATGTCCTCCATGCAGGTTGTAAATAGCTCTTCATCAAGGCTGCTGTAGTGTGGTACAAACATCATCTGGAGCATACCCATCTCCCGTATGACTTGTACTGAATCCAAGTAAGTGGTCCACTTACTCATGTGCTCGGGGAGATCTCCAGCATTTTCCCACACTGTTGGGGCAGGCGCCATCAACCAATTGATTAGTGTCTGATTACCAGCCGGGGGGTTCCTCTGCAATCGCTGCTGCAGTGAGGGAATGGTGGTGATACTGGCCAACTGCCCCATCTCAACGGGGCTGAATTCAGTATTGTCTGCACAGTCATCCCACAAGTGCAACAACCAAGCTGGGACAGACTCTCCCAACCGCTGCTTACACTGCTTTGCTAAGTCCCATAACTCCATGGTAGAGTACATTGTATAAGTGGTATGCCAGGTCGACTCACTCCCGGTGCTGACGGTTCCTCTCTCTCTACTTTCTGTTGCACCAAGGGCTGGGCTTCTATGGACCCGGCAGGACTGCAAGCAAGAAGAGAAGTCACAGCTGACTTGGCCGGAGCCTGGACCATGAACTCAGCCACCGCCAGGTGCTGCTCCAAGTCCTCCTCCTTCCGCTGTAGCTGTTGCACTTGGTTTGTGAGGTCCTGGATGTTTCGACCGGCATGACTCAAGACTGCCAGGAACATCCAGGAAACGCGACCAGTGGCCTCCCGAAGCACCCTGAGAATATTTGGTTCCATCATTTCCAAAGCTTTCAACACCTCTTCATACCTGGGACGTACAGCATCTCAATCTTACGGCGGCATCCAGGCCATTAGGTACCCCGCCACCGGGTACCAAAGGGATGCTGGGGGCCACAGCCCATTCACCCTGGGCTGCCCCTCGCTAGGGGCTGTTGGAGTACTCACCTCATCCTGCCCGCTACACCAAGTGTCAATGACCGGGGGATGCAGGAGAGGTTTCCGTGGTGAGATACCCAGGGTCAAGAAAGCTCGGGGAGCCGACATCAGGAAGAATCAGCAGCAGTTCTTTATTCCAACAGTTTTTTATATATAATTGTAGAGTGGGATGATCTAATTGGGTTGGTGCCTGGCGGATAGATCCTAAGCCTTGAAGTGTCATTCTTACGCAAGGGTTCTATTGCGTAAAAAAACATGGTCTACGCTTGCGCAGCCAGTTGCGGGCGAGGATCTTGTCCTGAACCATGGCCTCTATAAGCAACAGGCCAAGTTCCCAGGTCCTCGCATCCTCATAGCAGGGAATAAATTAAAGGAAACGCCGGGCGGGAGGGTGGGGGGGACTGCAGCAATCACAGCGTGACCTCATTTAGTGGCCCGGGGGGCCACTTTTCAGCAAGGGGTGCCAAATTCCGAGGCCACCTAGCAACCGTTACCATGACGACATAATTCGTTCTCAGGCGCCTAGAAAACAGCTCCCCTCTGCATCCCAGAGAGCACTGCGCTCTCTATAAACTTTCCGCCCCCTTCCATCCCAACATGCAACGGGGCTCAGATGCCGTGCGTGGTGATCATGAAAATTATAGAAATGCCTTAATATCCTCCCTGTTTAAACGTTAAAACTGCCTGTAATAGACCCATATGTGGGAGAGAGTTTAAAAGAGTGATATTAGTGATTTTTTCCCCTCAAATCTTTAGGAAAGCCCCATTTGTTCCTAGACTCGCTCAGGCATCTTGTTGGGCAGCCTGCGCAGATGGGCTGCGTGGGGGCCTTGGGGCTTTAGGCAGGGCACGTGCGGGAGGAAGTAACGCTATCAGTCCGCGCGGCGCTCGTATCTCCTTCATCGTGGAGCCATGGGAGGCCTGGAGAAGAAGAAGGTGAACGGGGGAGAACCCGGGGAGGGGTGGCAGGGGTCCTTGGGAGGTGGTAAACGGGCGTGACGGAGCCTGGGGACTGCGTCTTTCCTCGGCCTTGGCTCCTCGTGGGTACAGAAACGATTGGGATCAACGCGACGGGAGACAGTTGTGAGAAGGGGTCCGAGGATGGGCGAGGAAGGGACTACTTTTGTCCGGTGAAATGCGGGAAAGAACCTGGAGTAGTCTTGTAAGAGAGTTGATGACCAAGCCCTGGCCTGTTTGGCTCAGCGGTTAGAGCGTCCACCTGCGGTCCGGAAAGACCCGGGTTCGGTTCCCGCTAAGGGCACGTACCTCGGTTGCAGTTTGTCCCCGGCCCTGGTTGGTCGTGCGGGTGGCAGCCACTCGATGTGTCCCTTTCACATCGATGTTTCCCTCTCTCTCTCTTCCTCTCTCTCCCTCCTACTCTGTCTGTACAAAAAATGGAAAAATGTCCTCGGATGAGGATTAAAAAAAAAAAAAAAAAGAGAGAGTTGATGACCAAGCATAGTTTCACCCGAAAAGCAGGGCTAGCCAAAGAACAGCTGTTTACTGAGTAAAGAGTGATAAACGTTACATAAAGTCCATTACGTTGAATTAATCACCTCTAAAACTTGTTATCCTCTTTTCTCTGGAACCAGGCCCTGCCTTGGATACTGGGGATGGAGATGTAAACAATCAAATGTGGTCCCTGCCTTCCCCTAGCTCATTTTCTAGTGGGGAAGATGAACATTAAAATAACCAAGTAAAACTGTCAAAGATTGTTAAATGAGAGATAAGGGTGGAGAATATAAACGGACCGTTATTTCAATTAGTGTTGTGTTGGAAGGTCTCTCTGAGTCATAACATTTAAGTTGAAATCTGAAGACAGGAAGATCTCGGATAGGTTCTGGGGCACAAGAGTGCTTACTGAACAAGCCTGGCAGGGGAAACTAAGTGCCAGGGCCTTTAGGTGGGAAAGGCTTGTTGTGTACAAGGAATTGGAAGGACATCATGATTGCTGGGGTATAATAAACCAAGGGAAGAATGGCATCGGCTGAGGTTGGGGTTGGATAGGGACCAGATCATGGAAGGCCTGTCAGCCCTGGTGAGGAGGTTGGACTTTATTCTAAGTGCAGTAGAACTTAGCTAAATGGAGAGTAACATGATAAGTTTTTCAAGGAGTTCTTATTGCTATGTGTAGAATCGCGTTGGTGTCATGAAAAGACTGGAGAGGAGATAAGGGTAAGGAAGATGTAGTTGCCTCAAGTATTTCCTTCAGTTTGAGTTTCTGTTGTCATTTTGTGTTTAAACCAACACACTATTGAGCACCCAGTAGGTACTAGTGATTAGAACTACAAAGATATAAAATGGAAAATTATGACAGTTTTTAAAGCTGGGTTTCACAGCCATTTTGAGCCAGATAAGGCTTTGTTGTTGGGAGGGCTGTCCAGTGTACTGTGGGATGTTTAGCAGCATCCCTGACCTCTTTTTTTTTTTTTTAATCCTCACCTGAGGATAGTATTTCCATTTTTGTTTAGATAGAGTGGCAGGGAGAGAGAGAGAAACATGGATGTGAGAGAGACCCATCGACTGGTTGCCTACCGCACAACCCCACCCAGGACCGGGACGAACCGCAACTGAGCTATGTGCCCTTGACCAGAATCGAACCCACAACTCATTGGTGCACGGGCCAATGCTCTAACTGCTGAGCCAGACTGGCCAGGGCAGCATCCCTGACCTCTTAACCCACTAACTAGATGCCAGTAGCACTCAGCAACCGAAAATGACACCCCCCACCACACACACACACACACACACACACACACACACGAGAACTGGGCAATAGAAACCATTTTTTTTTAATCCTTGCCCAAGGACATATTTGCATTTATCTTCAGATAGCTGGAGAGAGAGTTGGGGGGGTGGGGAGAGACTCATCAAGTGGTTGCCATCCGCACGACCCCAGCCAGGGCCGGGGACAAACTGCAGCCAAGATATGTGCCCTTAGCGGGAGCCAAACCCAGGACTCTTTGGTCTGCAGGCCGACGCTCTAATTGCTGAGCCAAACTGGCCAGGGCAATGGAAACCACTTTTAATGAAGACTCACCTTTCTGAGAGCGTCTAAAACTCATCTTTGTATCCCTAGGACTTGACATGGTACTTATCTCCAATAGACAATTACTGTAATAAATGTCTGAAGGAAAGAATGAGTGAAAGATGTGTTTTATGATTGGGGGGTTATTCATAAACATACCCCTCAGGTTTATCTCTTTAGAGCTGCACCTAGCCATTGAGGCCCCTGCTCTCTGACTCCAGAGGAAGATCATGTTTAGAAAAGACATGCTTGGTTAGCATTGTGTGGTGCTTGATACAGTGCAATACTACTCTTTATCAAAGAGACAGATGTGAGTGTAAGGCAGCATCATGACATCATAGACATCCAGATGGTTCAAGACAATATGCTCCTTGGGAGCAGATGATGACTAGTCTTTTAGTTTTGATTACCCTCATAGCATCTAGCTTAATGCTGGGAACATAGTAGAGGTCCTGTTATTGTCTGTTGAATGAATGAACGGGAAAGGGGAAAGGCTTTGTAGCTTAGAGCATGCATTCTCAACCAAATGATATTACCCCCAAGGGAACAAAAATCTGGTTGGTGGGGGGAGTCTTAGATAGTACAATGGTTTGTGGCCCTCTAAAGAAACACATTACATAAACAGACCTACAGTTTGTCTGTGATATTAACATTTTATGGGGCTCTCAGAGGGTCAATTAAGGAGGGGAAAGGTCTAAAAAGGCTTTTGCTGGTGGAGATGGGTGACTATAATGAAAAAAGTTGAGAACACTGGCTTAGTGGATTAGGCACTCAGGTTCTGGACTCAGACCGAGCTTTGACTCCTAGCCCCAGCTCTTAAAAGGCTATGTGACCTGGGTAGGTTATTTCATTGAGATGTCTCCTCCCATGTGAAATGGGAGTTTAATGGCACCCACCTCACAGTATTGTGGGAATTAAACGAAGTAATATGTGGAAATCGCTAATCATAATGGCCAATACTTAGAGTTACTACCAAGTGCTTGGCACAGCACCTGATCCATAGCAACCTCATAGTCCCCAGCACCATGCAGATGTATGTGTCCTTTATGTTGACTACTGCAAGGGCAGTGCAGGAGAGCTCATTCAGGTGGGTGGGCTCCCTCTCTACAGCATTTCCTATCCCAGAAGCCACTTATCCAGAGTGGTACTTGCCTCTGGCATCAGACATGCCCAGGGATTGATGTCAGTCACTTCAATCATTGCTAATGGAGAACTGTTTTTTCTCCCCTAGTATGAACGAGGCTCTGCCACCAACTACATCACCCGAAACAAAGCCCGAAAGAAGCTGCAGCTGAGCCTGCCCGACTTCAGGTGAGGTTGAAAAGGAGTAGAGTAGGGTGGCCTTGGGGGTACTTGGGGAGTGAATTACATAAGGAAAACTCAGCTGCATCCCTGTGTTCCCTGTGCTGCTACAAACTCCATCTGGAATTCTGATATTCCTCCTCTTTCTCGCTGGGACTTGCATTAGTAAACTATGTTTTGTGAAGTGTAGTCTGTGGGGAAGCTGGAGGAGACCTGGGTAACACTGCCCACAGTCATCAGAAGGGGCCCACTGGTACAACACACTGCTGATTTCTGTCTGGGTCTGTGTCATCCATCCTCTCCCTTCTGGCAGAAGAGACCTCTGACCCTATAGCTAGGGGTTCTCAACTCCTTGTAGAGTCATATCCCGACTCCTGCACAGTCTTGTATTTACTGCCACCCGGCCCACTTTTAGTCCTTCAGGTGTGCCCAGCACTTTCTACCCTTACAGCCTTTGTCCTCAGGATGTTCTTCCCACCTTTATATGGCTGAAGTGTTGGTTTCTCAGCAAGGTCTTTCCTGGTCCCTGTCAGCATCTTGCTTGTTTCCTCTCTGGTGCTTGTGACAGTTTGCATTATGTGATTTTGGGGGACTTGTGGTTGTTGGACTCCTCACTAGGATGTTAGTTCTCCAAGGGCAGGCCCCCATGCTCCCTCTTCAGTGCTGGTTTCTAGGCCCGGTATGGCCAGTGCTCAGCATGTTTACTAACAGAAGGACTGGCCTTTGTCTTCCAGGCGGCTGTGCATCCTGAAAGGCATTTATCCTCATGAACCCAAACACAAGAAAAAGGTTAACAAGGGCTCCACAGCAGCCCGGACTTTTTACCTTATCAAAGACATCAAGTTCCTCCTGCATGAACCCATTGTCAACAAGTTCCGGGAATACAAGGTAAGGCCCTGGCTCTAGGGTCTGTCTGGATGGGCCCATTGACGTTCTGTGACCACTAACTGTGACCGTGGTGGATTGTTTAGTCTCTCTGAGGGTGACATAAATATAAAGGGTGACATAATTCTGTCTGAAAGGAGTGTCGCGAGGATTGACTGAGATCACACATGGAAATCATTTGCACAGAACCTGGCAAATGATTAATGCTTTACCTATTGTACTTTTCCCGATTCTTTTGAAAAAGAGTAAATTTATAACCTCTGAGGCAAAGATGTTGCTATTTCAGGGTCTCAGGTGTGTTCTCTTCCCAGAGACACTGCTGCTATTCATGCTTTTCCTGGAATTGCTCCTAGGAGATCAAGCATTTTATTCCACAAATAGAAACCATTAAATGTTTAAATGCCACAGAAAAAGTAGAAACCCGTTTATACCAAATGCAAATAATGGAAAGTAGACTGCTATTACTGAAGCCTTTGCCAAACAGCAGGGCCCGGCTGAGGCCCTTGGTGGGAGGGATGGGGTGTCACCTGGTGGCCACAGCTAGTTGCTGGCCCTCCCTTCCAACCAAGTCCACCCAGGTGGGTGGCTGGCCCTGTTTTGCTGCTGGGTTTAAAAACTATAGTCATGATCACCTAACGATGTGTTTTTCAGGACATATTCCCATTGTTAGCTGATTTCGTCATTGTGTGAACGTCATAGTGTATACTTATACAAATCTAGGTGATATAGCCTACTGCACATCTAGTGTATATGGGATAGCCTGTCACTCTTAGGCTATAGACCTGCAACAGCAACTGTGCAAAACAACATGAAATTAAATCAAGCTTGAGAGAAAATGATGCAATCAGGAGACATAGTAAACATGAGATGTATGTGGCTGCTGCCAGCATAACACAGCATGCCATTTTACAGCAAACTTTGTTACATAAGTAGAAAGAATACACTCTAAAATAACAATAAAAAGTATAGTATAGTAAATACATAAACCATTAACAGTCACTTACTGTCATTATCAAGTAATATGTACTGTACATGGTTTGCTCTACTTTTATATGACAGGCAATGCAGTAGATTTGTTTATACTAGCATCGCCACAAACATAAGTAATGTATTGTGCTACAATGTTACGGTGGCTAGGACATCAATAGGTGATAGGAATTTTTTTTTTTTTTTTTTTTTTTTTTTTATCCTCACCCGAGGACATTTTTCCATTTTTTGTTCAGATAGAGCGGGAGGGAGAGAGAGGAAGAGAGAGAGAGAAACATCGATGTGAAGGGACACATCGAGTGGCTGCCACCCACACAACCAACCAGGGCCGGGGACAAACTGCAACCGAGGTACGTGCCCTTAGCGGGAACCGAACCCGGGTCTCTCTGTACCGCAGGCCGACGCTCCAACCGCTGAGCCAAACCGGCCAGGGCGGTGATAGGAATTTTTTAGTTCCATTATAGTCTTATGGGACCGCTGCCATATACATGACCTGTCTACTGAAATGTTAGCCAACTCCGCTTATCAGTGGGGAGGAGGGGTCAGTTTTAATGTTTGTCGAGTTGGCTATTTTGCAAATCCTGGGCAAAGGGAACAGTCACACAGCTTCAGGGGCCTTGAGAATCCTCCTGCCCCATGTTTCCCTCCTCCACAAATGAGGGGTCTCCAGGAACCTTTGGCCCCAGCATCAGCTGTCTCTTCCTCTCTTCTAGGTGTTTGTCCGGAAGCTCCGGAAGGCCTATGGGAAGAGTGAGTGGAACACTGTGGAGCGTCTGAAGGACAATAAGCCCAACTACAAGCTTGACCACATTGTCAAGGAACGGTGAGTTGGGGGCTCAGTCTTAGCGTAGGGGATACAGTGGGGAACAAGACCAAGACCCTGCCCAAGCTGCTGGCATCCTATTGGAGGAAGCAGACCAAAAATCTAACTGCCAAATTGCTGTTATGATTGCAAGTCATAATGAGTGCCAACCGTGTGCAGGAAACTAGGGGACACCTGTTTGTTACAGGCTTGTCAGAGGAGGTCTTTCTGAGGAGAGAAGTTCTAACCAACCAGGGAAAGCATAGTCCAAGCAGAAGCAACAGCAAGTGCAAAGGCCCTGGGATAAGAGAGAATCAGAGTTCTGGGGAGTGCACACCAGCTATATGGTTAGACCTGGAGGATATGGATGGACACCTGATCTTAACCATTCCTTCCCCAGCCTTCACAGTAGACCACTCATTCATTGTCTAAATCAGTAGTTTCTAACCAGGGTTAGGAATGACTTGGATGGGAAGGCCTACTAGTTTTTAATGGGTTGAGGTCAGGGATGCTGCTAAACACCTTACATTGTATAGGACAGTACCCACAGTACATAACAATCTGGCCCAAAATGTTAGTAATGATAAGATTCAGAAATCTTGGGCTAAATGAACGTCCATCTTCTCTTGGGGGTTAATGGCCTAGCACACTTAGCTTCAAGCTAGATGGACTTGGCTTCATTGAGCCAGCCCATCCAAGGGCTAGTTCGAGAAGAGCTGTGACCTAGGAGCACGACAGCTGGTGTTCTCACCCCAGCCTCGCCACCCACAAGCTGGGTGGCCCAAGAACAGTTCTTGCTCCGAGCAAGTCCTCCCCTCTAACAGAGAGATGACCATAGCTCCTGTCCTGCCTATGACACACAACTGTTGTGTAGAACAAATGAAAAAGCACAAGAAGAAAGCAAGTGTCTGGATTCATGTACACACCAGGTGGCAGTGTGGTTGTGGTGTTCCCATTCCGTGTCACCCCTTCCCCCATCTCCATAGCCATTGGTTAAGAAGGAAAATCAGGTGGCTCAGAAATGATTGGTGATCTTTGTACAAAGGGCCTGGGTTGGTGGGTTTGTCTGGAAGTGGAGAATGAGGAAACTCCGAGGTACCACAGGGGACTGATTGATGCTCTAGCCTCTGCACCAGGAAACCAGATACCTCTCTTCCTATTGTCTTGCTTGAAGTTCCTGTGGCCTTTGTTCCATCTTGGTCAGGGTTTGAAGACCTGGCAGGCCCCTCCTTTTTTATTTTTTTTTTTTTTTTTTTTTTTTTTTTTTTTATCCTCACCCGAGGACATTTTTCCATTTTTTGTTCAGGTAGAGTGGGAGGGAGAGAGAGGAACAGAGAGAGAGAGAGAAACATCGATGTGAAAGGAACACATCGAGTGGCTGCCACCCGCACAACCGACCAGGGCCGGGGACAAACTGCAACCGAGGTACATGCCCTTAGCGGGAACCGAACCCGGGTCTCTCAGGACCGCAGGCCGACGCTCTAACCGCTGAACCAAACCGGCCGGGGCGGCCCCTCCTTTTTTAATGAGTGATGCCATCTAGGGTTGGAAGGGTCTTGGCCATGTCTGGTCCTGTGGCTTTCAGAGAGTCCCCTTTTGAAGCAACAGAACACTCTGCAAAAGGAAGTTCCCTGGGCGGCAGTGCGGATGCCAGAGGCTTTGAAAGCTGCTCTGGCTGAGGGAGGGAGACTGGAAGCCCTGTCTGTCCATTTGTCCCCAGGTGTTTCCAGGAAGCTGTAGGAACCCAGTTTTAAATCAACAGTCGGTTCAATATTGTCTTTTTCCAAATGAAACCACTGGGGTTAAGTGAAACATAGTGAACCATCCTGGGTCACAGCTGGGACTGGAATTCAGGTGTCAACACTGGTACTCCAATGTCCTTTCCATGACCCACACCTCTATCCCTCAGCAGGACAGCCGTGCAGTAGTGGATCCTGCCAGGAAGGCTTGTTTTCATCAACTTTCTGATTTACCACAGGGAACTACTTTTTTGCTCTGACTCTTCCTGGCCAAGACCTAGTTTTCGCATTTTTACTGTCTGGTTCTGATTGGTTCTGTAAACTAGACAGAGGTCTGGGTCGTGAGAGATAAGACAACCCACTCTGGTGACATGTGGCCATAAGTGCTGCTGAGGACAGGCATGTCCCGACCCTCCACCGTGGTCCACCAGGGCAGCATCACATTTGTCTGCTTTCTGTCTTGGATCCCTCTAGATAGATTTCCTTTGCTCTGAAGTTTCCACCTGGAGAAAGAGAGAGCCACTGACTCGGCCTGCCCTCTGACCACAACGTATGGAAGTGGGTCAAGGTCAAGTCCTTGGTTTGCAGTGGGTGTCTTGGGGACCTGGTCAGGATTCCTCTGATCCTCAGAGCTAACTGGGCATGTTCTGGTTCCATGGTGGGGAAGCTGGTACTGCCAGGCCCCTGGGCACTTCTTGACTTTCTGGTCAGGACATGGTAGTGGCAAGGCCTGGCTTGGGGAATAGGGCCTCCAGGGTGTTTTATAACCAAACCTATGAATGCTGCCCTTCCGGCCATGCAGGTACCCCACGTTCATAGACGCTCTTCGGGACCTGGATGATGCCCTCTCCATGTGCTTCCTCTTCTCCACTTTCCCTCGGACTGGCAAGTGCCACGTGCAGACCATTCAACTGTGCCGGAGGCTCACGGTGGAGTTCCTGCACTACGTCATTGCCGCCCGGGCCCTGCGCAAGGTGAGCTCAGGGCCACCTGGCAGGCCCCACCTGCTCTCTCCCTCACTCTCCCGTTGGTTTTCACCAAGCTGTCCCCTCTCACCCTCAGGTGTTCCTGTCCATCAAAGGCATTTACTACCAGGCCGAGGTGCTCGGACAGCCCATTGTGTGGATCACACCCTATGCCTTCTCCCATGATGTGAGTGTGTCCGTGGGGCTTGTGCTGGACTGTTCTCCCTCTGGCTCCTAGACAGATAAGGGCATGAGCAAAGAGGGAGTTTTACTTTCCTGTGGAGTCCAGCATGTGCTGGGTTCCTAAGTGTTGGCTGGGGGTGTGGGGTCAGGTGGGAATGTGCTACACAACATCATAATAAGAACTCAAGCCAAACTGCTCCAGCACCCCACAGCTGGTTGACCTTGAACATGTGCCTTCACCTCTGTGCCTCAGTTTATGTTGTACTTCCACTTCCTAAGCATTGTTGTGAGATTTGAAAAAAGAATGTTTTAAGGTGTCGTTTGGGGTAGCTGAATGAATAGTTAGAGGCTGCTGGGGTCTGGACAGTGGCCAAGCCCAGCCCTACTTTCTGACCCACTGGGGTCCTCATTCTGCTCCATTGCTGGCAGCTGCCAGACCTTGGCCAAGCTGCTTTGCTTAGCTCCTTAGCTTCCCCTACTCCTGTCTCCCACAATTGCTAGGGGGCTGGGAGAGATTTTTGTCTATTTTTACTCTTAGAATTTTTGGCAGGGATATATGGAGAGAAATCCTGGTTTTGCCTCTTTATGGGGCATCATTAGCCTCTAGTCCCCCCATGAGGTCTCAGCCAGTCTCAGTACCTGACCTGTTGTTCTGTGGGCCTGCGTTTGGCCCAGTTCCTCGTTTGTGCACTGATTGGGAACTGGAGCCTTCAGTGGAGAGCACATACACCAGCCTGCTTGGACAGTGGGTTTACTGCCAGGTTATTGGGTGCTCCAGGTTAAAGCCAAGGTCTGAGCTCCTCTCCTTTATCTTGGGCTGGTTTGAGGGCCAGAACCACTCTTGACTATGGAGCAGCAGTGACCTTTGGTGGCAGGCTGCAGTCTGTGGGTGAGAGTCGAGCTTGGCCCTCTGTGTCCCTATTCCCACTCCTTAGGACAGGCTTGTGTGCCAGAATCCATGGGTCTTTCCTCTTCTCTGTTCTGCCCCTCCTCTCCTACTCTTTCCTTCCTGCCTTCTCCACCCTGCCTTCCCTCCTTCCTCTCTGGCCCTCCTGCTCCTTCCTTCTCTCTGATGTCCCACCCCCGTGATTCTCAGACTAGGCTTTGTGTGTCCTTCTAGTGGTGAATAGGGCCCTGTGGAGGCCAGCCTCCACACAGCTGGCCTGGGGGAAGGGAATGGCTGCCCGTCCTTCCTCTTCCCTGGCCAGCTTACTGCCGCTACTTCCTTTCAGCAGGAGGATGGAGGACCGGTACTGGGTTGTAGGTGAGGCCCTGATGTACCTACTCCCTCACCCTTAGTGGCTAGTCCTGGGTCCTCCAAAGTAGAACCCAGGCATGTGGGGTGAAACTCCACTCAACACTGTGCTGTAGGAAAAGGACTTGGTGCTCAGATGCTTGCCAGGCCCATCAGGGGCCCTGCAGCTGCTTTCAAAAGAGCAGAGGTATTGGTCTGGGCACAGGTGGAGTACCTCTTTGCCCCTGTGCCCCTGTAGCCAGGTCCCTGCCTGCTGGCAGGGTGGAGAAACAGCTTAGAGTCACAAGCATGCCCAGTACAAAAGAGATGTAATTATCACTGATTTTTTTTTTTTAATCCTCACCCAAGGATATTTTTCCGTTGATTTTTAGAGAGACTGGGAGGGAGGGAGACGGGGGAGGGGGGGAGGGAGGTGTCGATGTGAGAGAGCGAGACATCAATTGGTTGTCTATGCTCTAACCACTGAGCAACCGGCAAGGGCATCATTACCAGTTTTGGCATTCCTTGTCACACCCTCCTGTCCAGGTCTCAGGGGTCAGCAGTTGGCATTCCTTGTCACATCCTCCTGTCCAAGTCTCGGGGGTCAGCAGGGCTGGGCTAGCTTCTCTGGTTGTGGGAGACAGTGCTGCTCAAGAGTTGAGGTGTTTTGATTTGGCTTTCAGATCCTTGCTGTGTTTTGCTTTATCATTTCTTCAAGGGCCAAGATGAGCCCTTCCCTGTTGCCTGCTTGCTGGGTGGGCAGCTCATACGGGTGACTCTGTGCCTTTGTTTAAGGCAAGCAGCTTTTTTGTCCACTATTTCTCCAGTGCTCCCTGGGCTGAGTCAAGCGGCTGCTCCAACCTGTCCTGTATCCTTAGGTCTTGTCTTTGTTTCTGGCTGAGGCTTATTTCTGAGTGTCTGTCCCAAGGCTCCTGCCAGGGCTTGGAGTTACTGAGTTCCGTCCATCCACTGTCCCCAGCTGGGCAGCAATGGTACTAGGCTCTAGGAATATTGTCTCCCAGGAAAAGATTATGGGGTGAATAATGAGGAAGGCATGCGCTCTGATCAGACTGTCAGGGAAGGCAGCCTCTGCAAGGACAGAAGTCTGAGCAACAGGTGCAGGGGTTGGGGGATTGCCTGCCAGTCCTGGGAATAGCGTGATAGAGGCTCCCCTTTGCTTCCTCCTAGCTTGCCCTACATGGCTTGGGGATCTGGCACTGGCCTCCAGGACATCCCTAACCCTTGGGACCCCTGTCTGGAGCTTTACTGGTACCCAGAATGTTCCTGGGTAGGGACATATCATACAGCCCCTTTCTGTGGGGCAGAGTCCTAAGGCAGGGCTATCCTGGAGTTCCTCACCTCTCGTGGGTTGTCACTGTCAACTTTGCCCGTCTTTCTGATGTGCCTCCTATGCCTCTCAGCACCCAACAGACGTGGACTACAGGGTCATGGCCACCTTCACCGAGTTCTACACCACCCTGCTGGGCTTTGTCAACTTCCGCCTCTACCAGTCACTCAACCTGCACTACCCACCCAAGGTAGGGCCCAGTCCAGTGCCTCCTGTCTATGCAGGGGTCACAGCCCTTCTCTCCCCATGTGGAGGCAGGGGCTGTGGGCATCCTCTTGCGCTGACCTTCCTCTGCCTCCCAGCTCGAGGGTCAGGCCCACACGGAGGTGAAGGCCCATGAAGACAGCTATGCATTGGACTCTGAGAGCTCTATGGAGGTGAGAGAGGCTTCCAGAGCATGGGCCCAGCATCCCCCAGAAGGGTGTCCCTGGCCCGGGGGTTGGTCATTGACTGCATATGTGGTCTTGGGGCTCTCCTCACAACCCAAACCCACTGATGTCCCAGAGCTGTCACTGCCACCCCTTCCCCACCTTGGCCATACCCCCAGATAAGGTTCCCCCCCCACCTGCAAGCCGCAGCCCCATAGTAATGCTTCTTTTCTGTAGAAACTGGCAGCCCTCAGTGCCAGTCTGGCCCGTGTGGTGGTGCCTGCAGAGGAAGAGGCCGAGGTGGACGAGTTTCCTGCCGATGGGGTAGGTCTGTGCTGCCTTCCAGGAGGAGCAAGCAGGGCAGGGGCATTGGGACGGAGGAATCTAGAAGGAAGCTGGGGGTGTGTGCAGCTCTAAAAACAAGAGGCCTGGGCCTTTCTGTTCAGGAGATGGCGGCACAGGAGGAGGGCCGCAGGAAGGAGCTGGAGGCACAAGAGAAGCAGAAGAAGCTCTTTGAGGGCCTGAAGTTCTTCCTGAACCGTGAGGTACCCCGTGAGGCCCTGGCTTTCATCATCAGGTAGGCAGGTCAACAGCACTGGCTCTGCCACACTCTGGGCTAGGTCTTGCCCTGCACAGAGCAGCCCTGGATGCCCACCAGTAACTTCAGGGTGGGGTCAGTATCCACTTTTGTTTGTTTGTTAATCCTCGCTGGAGGATATTCCTCCATTGATTTTTTATTTTTTTTAGATAGAGTGGAAGGAAGGGAGGGAGACAGAGAGAGAGAAACATCCGTGTGATACACATGGATTGGTTGTCTCCTTCAAGATCCAGACCTGGCCGGGGATTGAATCCACAACCCAGGTACATGCCCTTAACCTGGAATCAAACCCGTGACCCTTTGGTCTGCAGGCCAATGCTCTAACCACTAAGCCAAGTTGGCCAGGGCAGTATCTAGTTCTTAAGGCTGTTCTGAGGATTCAACAAAATGGTGTTTTGAAAGTGCTCAGCAGCCCTAGCCTAGGAGGATGAATTTGGCCAGTGGGTCCCTGGGCAGGCACCTCATACCTGAGTATTTTGCTGGGCTCCCCTTGTACCTGTAGGAGTTTTGGGGGGAACGTGTCCTGGGACAAGTCTCTGTGCATCGGGGCCACCTATGACGTCACAGACTCCTGCATTACCCACCAGATTGTTGACCGGCCTGGGCAGCAGACTCCTGTCGTTGGCAGGTAGGCCCCCAGGGCCCTCATCTCCCTCTGCCTGTTCGGGGTTCTGAGTACAGAGGTCTGTCTCAAGGCCTCTGTGAATGGAGTGGAGCCTCGGGTGGCCCCTGTGACCCATCTCTGCTGCCCCTCTGCGCCAGGTGCTACGTGCAGCCACAGTGGGTGTTTGACTCTGTGAATGCCCGGCTCCTCCTCCCTGTGGCAGACTACTTCCCCGGGGTGCAGCTTCCCCCACACCTCTCACCCTTCGTGTCAGAAAAGGAAGGAGATTATGTCCCCCCTGAGAAGATGAAGCTGCTGGCCCTGCAGCGAGGAGAGCACCCAGGTGAGGGGGGGCAGGGTGGGCAGCCTCCTCCATGCTGGTCTTGGTCCCCTGGGCCTTAGCTGGCTGTTTCACTTCTTGGCTACAAAAGTGGCAAGGTCCAGAGAATAGGGAAGCAGAGGTACAAATGCACCTGTGGAGTAAGGTTTAGGAGAAGGGAACATCTGTGTTCTACAATCAGGTGTTCTTGACGTTCAGAGTAACTGAGCAGAATGGTCTGGAAGTTGTCATCAGGATTTACATAGGAGACGGCAGAGCTCAGTAGGGGGCTTGGGGTTTCCTCTGAAGGTAGCTGGGACTGTGAGGAGAGGTGCCAGAGTGGGGTGTGGTTGAGACAGCCCTACACTGCCTTTGTCATGTCCCCAGGGCTGGAGAAGGGGGAGCCTGGTGCCATTTCTCATCCAGCCAGGGAAAGAGCAGGCTCCCAGGGCATTCAGAAGCCATTGGCTATTTATAGGAAATTTAAATGAATCTGAAGAGGAGGATGAGGAGGAAGACAGTGACGATGGTAATGAAGAAGAAGAAAACGAAGAGGAAAAAGATGTGGACGCTGGTTCAGAAAAGGAGGAAGAGGCTCAACTGACAGCTCTGGAGGAGCAGAGGATGGAGGGGAAGGTACCAGGGAGCTGACCGGGGCGTGGCCTGGCCTGGGAAGCAGCCCCACTGTCCATCTTGGTGCCAGCCCTGGCCCAGAAGGGCGGGAGCCAGGAGACTGGCAGGGGTGGGTATGGGGACCTGCATCCACCCTGTGTTCTCAGAAGCCCAGGGTGATGGCGGGCACTGTGAAGCTGGAGGACAAGCAGCGGCTGGCCCAAGAGGAGGAGAGTGAGGCCAAGCGCCTGGCCATTATGATGATGAAAAAACGGGAGAAATACCTCTACAACAAGATCATGTTTGGCAAGCGGCGAAAAATTCGGGAGGTGAGTTCCTGTCACCTGCCAGATGTGGCCGGGCACACAGTTGAACTTTGAGGCTAGCTGGGCTCTCTTCAGGGCTTTATACTTCCTACACCTGGAGTTTCTGAGTTTGCTCGAGAGTGGGGACAGATCTGTCCCAGAGAACTCTGCCTACTTTTATGAAGGACCATTTAACAGAAGTGCCTAAAGCACAGGGGCCTGCGGGAGGTTTTGGTTAAGCTTCTATTTTGTTTCTTGTTCACAAAACCACATCAGCCCTGGCCAGTTTGGCTCAGAGGTTGAGCGTTGGCCTGAGGACCAGAGAGTCCCAGGTTCGGTTCCTGCTAGGGGCACGTACCACAAAACAAACAAACAAAGCTACATCAGCTCTTTGGGGGGGAAATATTTTAAACAAAAATACAAGTTCTGTGCACACCAGAACTCTGTAATGGATGGTGTAGAAGTGGTGTGGAAGTGGCTTGCAGTCCTGCCCTTGGGGTGAGCTGTAGTAATAGCCCCCAGGTTTCTTTTGTGTACGTAACACAGATATTACTGCGTAGAAGGGGAGAGTCTCCTTCCCTGTTCACTTCTCCCCATCACAGCTTGATTTCCCACCTTTCTCCTCATAGGCCAACAAACTGGCAGAGAAGCGGAAAGCCCACGATGAGGCTGTGAGGTCTGAGAAGAAGGCCAAGAAGGCAAGGCCAGTGTGAGTGGCAGCAGCCTCTTGATGGGCCAGGCCAGCTCCGACAGCTGGACTTGGCACAGGCAGGCCAGAGGACCCAGGCTTGGTAGTAGACCGGAGTCTCAGAGTCTCTTCTGTTTCATTCCTCCCCTCCCCCTGCCAGCCTGGCCTCCTGTCATGTTCTCTGGCTGGGCCCATGGGTAGCTCCAGCCTCCCTTGAATGGAACTCTAGCAGAGAAGAGGTATCTATGCCCAGCCCAGCTGGATCTCCCAGGAGTCAGCGACATGGGGAACAGGGCCCCCCACCAGCCCTTCACCTGCTGCTCCCGTTCACCCTGGCTTTTCCTCTCCCCCACACATGGTTAAACCCATGATTCTCCTGGTGGTGTGATGGGAGGGTGGGGAAGCATTTGTTATTAAATGGCTGGAATTTTGCAGCCAATTGAATTGGTGTGTTCATGAGCATTCTTGAAGTTGGAGAAGGGCCACCTAGTGCCCTGTACTACAGGCTGGACAAGCCTGGGTATTTACAGAGAAGGGCCTGGACCTGACCAGTTTGGCTCAGCAGTTAAGAGCGTCGGCCCGCAGATCAGAGAAGGGCCTGGTCACTGCTCAGGGTTCTCTGGATGTCCAAGAACCCCTTTGGGCCCAAGGGTGCCAGAAGGTAGGTGCAGAGGTTCTGGGGTTGGGCTCTTAAGTCAGTCTGCCCTTAGTTCATAGTCCAGCCCCTACACTTTTCGGTCTCTCTGAACCTGATCCCTCATGTGTAAATTAGTAGAAATTCTGGAGCCTGCTTCCCAGGGATGCATGGAAGTACAATTTTGGGGGTCTCGATCTAACGGACACAATTTCTGGTCCATATGTCACATGTGAACATTAACTTTTGTTAATTGTAAAATGTTTTTTTGTTTTGTTTGTTAATCCTCACCCAAGGATATTTTTCTGTTGATTTTCAGAGAGGGAGGGAGGGAGGGAGAGAAAGAAAGAAACATCAATGTGAGAGAGACACATCAGTTGGTTGCCTCTGTACAATCCCAACTGGGGCCAGGACCTGCAACCCCAGTATGTGCAGGGGTAGAACCTGCGACCCTTCAATCTGAGGGCCAATGTTCCAACCACTGAGCCAAACTGGCTAGGGCTTAAAATGCTTTTAACCAAGATTTGCTTAGAATTAAATTAACAAGTTATTTTCCTGTTATTAATTCACTTATTTTTAACAAACTTTAGTGAATAGGCCATATTTTGGAAAAAACACTGTAGTAATTTTGATGACATAAATATTACATATCTAAAAGTATAGTCTATATATTTAAATCCAAGAGTCACCATTCGTAAACATGTTCGTAGAATGATTAGCACACGATCACAGTGCATTGTGGGCAGTAATTGGTTCTATTGTTGCACAGGGTGACTTTCTTCAGCAGGTTTTTTTTTTTGTTGGTGTTAATCCTCATCTGAGGATATTGTTTCCATTGTTTTTTTTTTTTTTTTTTTTTAGAGAGAGTAGAAGGGAAGGGAAGGAGAGACAGAGAGAAACATCAGTGTGAGAGAGACACCTTGATTGGTTACCTCCCGCAAGTGCTTGTCTGGGATTGAACCTACAGCCCAGGTACATGTCCTTGACTGGGAATCGAACCCGAGACCCTTCAGCGTGTGGGGCTGATGCTTTAACCACTGAGTCACACGGGGCAGGGCTCGGCAGCAGTTGTTCCCACTTGCACTAAGCCACACCACAGCTGTGTGCATTTGTTTACTTGAAGTGACTGACTCGTGAATGCACGAATGTATTAGACCTACCTATTCAATATAAATCTAAAATTACAGTAATACATGTATAAAAGTTTTCTGTGAAATTAAACTTTTCATACATAATTTTACACAAACATGTCTACATAAAGTAAAAATAGGTAAACTGATATGTCAATTTTGTTGTTCATCCTCAGCTGAGGATATTTTTCCATTGAATATTTGGATATTTTTCCATTTCAGATAGAGTGGAAGGGAGGGAGGGAGGGAGACTCATTGATTGGTTGCCTCCCGTACAACCCTAATGGGCTGGGGATCCAACCTGCAACCCAGGAACAAGCCCTTGATCGGGAGTTGAACCTGCCACCCTTCTGTCCAAGAACTGATGCTCTAACCACTGAGCAAACCATCCAGTGCAATTTATCATTTTTTTAACATATGCATTTGGAAAACCTACTTTATCATATAATGGACTTTTGGCTTTAATGTATACCCCTTTTCCTGAATTAGTTCCTCATATGGAGGTTTTACTGTTATGCAGACTCAGTAGTGTCAGGTGTCAAAGTGCTCAGTAAACCAACTGTGGTTGTCATTATGTCCTGCTTCAGTCAGCCCAGAAGGTGGGAGCCTAATGCTTGGTGGTATCTGTGGGGCCTGAATTTAAACGAGCTTTACCTTGTGGGCTCCTGAGCAGAATTGTCGAGTAACCTCCAGTGTGGACCTTGCAGCAGCCTGACTTGTTACCCTTACTGGACCATCCTTACAGCTTCCCACCAGCCTTGCTGAGGCCCAGGGGAACAAGCCCTTGCCCAGGACTGCCAGTGCCTCATGGAAGACCTAGGGCCAGAATCTGGGCTCAGAATCATCCCAGCCCCTGTCAGGTCTGGCACAGTGTTTCTGAATAGCCTCCAGCAGGGTGCCCCAGTGGTCTGAGTGCCTTTCCCACATTGAGGCACCTGAGGGAGAGCCTTGGCTCTCTGCCCCTCACTCTGCTCAGGCTCTGTAGAAGTTTTCTGGGCTGTGGCTGCAGGCCCACCCTGCAGGAGAGGAGAGGGGAGGAAAAAGCTTGGGCAGCCTCTGGCTGAGGGAGCAGAGAGCCCAGGGCTCCTGTCTCTGCTGGGCTTTGCTGTGGGTGCGGGGTGGGGGGGGAGGCTATAGTCTAGTCTGGCATGCTCATAGTGGTGGGGCAGTGCTTCCAGAGGCAGGCTCAGGGCCTCTGGAGCCAAAGCCTGCTGCCCTAGGGGATGACGAACCTGCCAGGGTGTATGTGCATCCTGGGACCAGGAGTGCCAGGGCAAAGTTGGAGAGCATGCCCATCAGATATGGAAAAATCTGGCAGCCATGCTGATGTGGAATTTTCCCCACTCCAGAGTCCCCCAGCAATGGCCGGGGCAGTGGGGCTATGACGTGGCCCATGCCCCACTGGGTGTCCAGCTACTTTGGTACTGCCTACAGCTGGAGCTGAGCATTCCTGGCTATAGACCGGCATTCATCCCTATCCTTGGCCCTCTGGGTGAAGGAAGGAAGCCTAGGACTGAAAAGGGTGGATCCTGGATGGAAGGGCACCTGCATGCTGATGGCACTGTGCTCAGCCCAGATGGGTGCCCTGGAGAGGGGATCAGCCGAGATCTCCAAGTGGCTAACCAGCTGGAGATGGATCCCATGCCTGAGCTTCCCTTGGAAATTCCGTCACCACCCCACCCCATTTATCTCTATTTCAGAAGCCAAAAAGTGTATTCCCAGCTTGCACTAACTATGGAGCAAGGGATCAAGGGCTCCAGAACTCCCAATGAAAGTTAAGCAACTAGTCTAGCCATCTCCTTTTTCCCAGAGCTGGGCTGCCCTCACCACCACCACGCCACCCCGTTTCCCAGGCACCCTCGAATCCCCTCAGGGGCTGGGAGCTCAGCTGAGCATCAGGGTCCTGCTGCGGGGACAATGGCCCCGTTGGCGCGTCCAAGACAAATGCGCCTTGTTGGGCCGCCAGCGGGGGCGCGATGCTGCCCCAGGCGCGCTGAATGCGGCTTCTGTGCCTCCCGGGCGCGCGCTGAGGGGTCGGGAGGGGCCCGGGGTCCCGGGCGCCCATTGGCCGCAGTGCCGGGGGGGCTGGGCGAAGCTGACGGCTGCACCTGGCCGGAGCAGTGGGGCGTGGCGGCGTCGGGGGCGGGGCGGGAGCATGGCCCAGGCCCGGCGGAGCAGGGGGCTCCGGCGGGTACGCCCCGCCACCAAGTAAGCGCCCGGGCGGCGCGGCCCGGGCCCAACCATCAAGCCAAGCCCGAGGAGGACAGGGACAAGGTACGTCCTGGGGGCCCAGCACCCACCACCAGCTGGCACCCTGCCCCACCATCCCAACCTTCCAAATCAGGATTGCGTGTCAGACCTGACTCAGACCTGAGTGGTATGGGAGTACTACACTCTAGTTCTGGGGGCCAGGGAGGGTGCAGGTTGGTTTTCACCCTACCCTTGGTTTCTTCCCCAGGGTTCCCATTTCCAGGGTTTTCCCACTCACTGCACATTGGATGGGTGGGGCTGGAGCTGGGCTGGAGCTGGAAGTCCATTAATAATTAATCTTGGGCACAGTAGCCTGTGTTCTGGAGGAGAGGCAGGAATCTCCCCTCTTCCCACCAGCCCTCCCCCAGAAGGGGGGCTGTCAAAGCAGGGGCTGGGGACCAAGGTAAGAGATGGATTCCCTCTGCTTGGTGAAGGCCCTGTCCTGCACCACAGAGAGGGCAAGGCCACCAAGGAGAGGCTTGTGGGAATGAGACAAATCCTGGTATCCAGGAGGGATCCCCTAAGAAATCCAACACTTTCCCTGTTTCCTGGACCAGTGCCCAGGAAGGGGGACCAGCTTGGTGCCAAGCCAGCACTTTGGTAACAGCTCAGAGCAAGACTGTAGTCCCCTCCCAATGGGGACCCTCTCCCCACCTTCCTAGAACAGGAGAGGTGATGGATGCATACCTGTTGGCAGTAACCCACACCATGGGAGTGAGGGAGGGTGACAGTCCTGACACCTGATCTCCTGGGTTGCTGAGGTGACAGGTGCCATGGAAATCCACAGGACAGTCCAGTTGGGAGAATCCAACCTCTTCTTTACCAAGGGGGTGAACTGAGGCCCAGAGAGGGTAAGGCTGTAGGCAGGCCTGGGCCAGAACAGCCCCTATGCTGCTGCACTGTATCTTGCCCTGCAAAGGAGACATTGCTACTATCTCCATCATCCTGAGGGGAAGCTGAGGCTCCGGGAGATTCAGAGACTTGCCCAAGGCCACATAGTTCAAAGGTGGCTACAAATCACAGGAGTCTTGCCCCAGCCTGCATCTCAGGATCCCAGTCTGGCTTAAGACTTTTGTGCCTCTCTGGGGTCCGAGCCTCTTGGATCTGTCTAGGCTGCCTCAAACCCCCACCCCCTTGCCTTCCTAGCTCCCAGCTCTGCCTGACACTCAGGGGTGAGCAGGCTGCTCTGCTGGGAGCAAAGACAACAGAGCCCTGTTCCCAGCTGCCACCTCAGGCAGCTTTATTCCCTGCTTCTCTCTCAGGCAGATCCTTGACTGAAGGAAGCTCCCTGTGGACAAAAATGTCTGCCTGCTTCCCGCACATTTCCTTGTTCAATGAGCATGGGTCTGATGCTTGAGAGCTTGAGTCTGATGCCCTTGTGTCACCCAGCAAGGGAG